GGCCCCACGCAGCGTCACCGTCCCTCTGCCCCGCGCAGCATCAGCCCCGGGCGCCGTCGTAGCCCCACGCAGCCCTGCATGCACCATTGCAACCGGCCGCGGGACACCGATGCAGCCCCACATGCCCCATTGCAGCCCCACATGCCGCCTTGCAGCCCCCCCACGCACCGCTGCAGCCCCATGTGCCCCATTGCAACCCCGCATGCCCCACTGGAAGCCCACAAGCACCACTGCAACCCCACAGCCCCGGGCGCCGTCGTAGCCCCACGCAGCCCTGCATGCACCATTGCAACCGGCCGCGGGACACCGATGCAGCCCCACATGCCCCATTGCAGCCCCACATGCCGCCTTGCAGCCCCCCCACGCACCGCTGCAGCCCCATGTGCCCCATTGCAACCCCGCATGCCCCACTGGAAGCCCACAAGCACCACTGCAACCCCACAAGCCCCCTTGCAGCCCCCCCCACACCATTGCAGCCCCAGGAACCCTGCACAGCGCCGTGGCCCCACAGCGTCACCGCCATGCAGCATGACAATGCCCCAGGGGCCACCACGGCCCCACGCCGCTGCCCCACGCCAGCATCCCACAGGCCCCCGGCCCACGTTTCCCCACGGGCACCGTCCCACCGGCTTCCTCCTGTCCCAGCACCACCAAGCTGGGCTTTGGCTCAGGTTGAGCTGAGCTTTAATGATGGAGAAGAAGCAAACACGACTCCCAGGCACATGGCACGGCCCCGGACTGGCATCTCGGGTCACAGCCGTCACGGTCAGGCCCGGCACCGGCCAGGCTCCCCCCCGGCAATGGATGGAGAGGGAGGGGGAGGTATGGCCACCGGGACGGTGGGCAATAAGGCACTGGGCAGCGGCGAGGAGGGGTCAGATTAAGGCACTGGGGTGGGGGAGACCCCCACGCAGCGGGGATTGGTCCCTGTTAGAAGCAGCCCCATAGGGGCAGGAGGGAGCTGGAGGCACTTCGTCCCCGTGGGGGGACATGGTGGGGACGCCGGGCGGCCGAGGCAGGACATGGGGGAGCCCCCGGCCCCCACGCCGCCCACCGGGCTCCTCTTCTCCACGCTGTGGGTCACACCGGCGCCACGTAATTGCCGGGGAAAGTGCCGAATTTCTGCGTTCTCCTGGACACACCTGGGAGGGAAAGGCAAAGCGATGCGGTGAGGGGGCCGCGGTGGCATCCCGTCCCCGTCCCCGTCCCCATCCCGGCGGCCACGCACCCACAAACCAGCCGTCGTCGCACTGCTGCATGACGTCCACGCGGTCCCCCTCCAGCAGCTCCAGCTCGTCGGCGTTTTGGGGCCGGTACTGGTACAGCGCCCGGTACCTGCGAGACACAACGTGACCAGAGCCCGCGCCACCACGGGTCCCGCCTGGGGACACTGTGCCACGGTGCCACTCCCGGCCTGACTTACGGCGTCCACTGGATTTCGGAGCCGTTGTAGGACGGGGCGGGCTCGGGGCGGGTGCTGGTGGGTGCCCCCGGGGCTGCGTGCTGCAGGGGGAGAGGATGGGTGCAGCGTTACGGGGCAGCACCCACATCCCCGGCGGTGCTGGGGCACGGTGCCGGGGCTGGGGGCTGCGGCGGGG